GGGGTGTCTCCCTTGCTCCAGAGCACAGCCATGTGGCAAGTGACGACAGGCATCCCTGGGAAGGCAGAGAGGAAGAGTCACCAGTCACACAGTCACTGTATGACCCCAGGGCAGGGACCCCCTTCAAAGGTCCTTCCCAAAGCCACTTGAGGTGTGAGAAATGGCCTAGGTCTGAACCGGAGGGAGTGCTGTGAATTCCGTCAACAGGCAGTTATGTTTCTTCTGGGGGACTGAGACATGGGTCACTTACACATCAGCTTGCACCTCGGAAGGCTGCCCGTCTAAGTCCACTCTAGGGTCTTCAAGATCAACTAGCTGTCTCTGGAAGGCCCAAACCAAATGATGGCTCTGTCCTGAGGCACAGTAGGATAATTGTGTCCCTTTGTTCTACGGTGGTGGTACCTGGCCTAGGCCCCACTCGAGGACCCCATCATTTCCACTTTGAGAATCTGTTTCCCTGGGCCACTTCTGGTACCGATCACAGAACCAGCCCCATTAAGAAACAGCACATTCAAGGTTAATAAACGAGCCAGGTGTGGTGGTGCATGCCTGTCTGTAACCCCAGCAGCTCCGGAGGCTGAAACAGGAGGATGGTGAGTTCAAAGCCAGCCTCGGCAAAAGCAAGGTGCTAAGCAACTCAGTGAGACCCTGTCTCTAAATCCAATACAAAATAGGGCTGGGGAGGTGGCTCAGTGATCAAGTGCCCATGAGTTCAATCCCCAGTACCCCCTCAAAAAATAAATAAATAAATAAGAGTCACAAAAGTGAACTGAATAGAGACTGTACAAAAGTGGGGTCAGGGTTGGGAAATCAACAAGGGATCCACCATCGCTAGCCCTGATGGGAAAACAGGAGTGTGGTGACTGTGTCACCTTAGCTTGGCTGAGTCTGTGTTCCTCAGAATTCCCTTGCTGTAGTTTCCAGTGAGGGTAGGCCACAGAGGACACTTCTGCTTGACGTCCAGAGGGATGGAGCAGCAGTCATTTTGCTTGTGTTCTCCGAAGGCGTCTGCTGTTCCTTACCTGCTGGCTCTCTTGGTGGACTGGGCCAGGAGAAGGCCCAAGAGTCCTCTCCCTGACCAGGGATCTTCCTTTTGCTCATCTAGCCTCTGGGCTAAGTCATTAGGAAAGTGACAAGGGCACCAACTTCTCCTGTAGGACGCCGGTTGACACAGGTCCCTCTGTCTTTGTGGGGTCTGCTTGTCTTTGTTTTTGCCCACTCAAGGTTCACCTTTCCTTCCCGACTGCCTGGCTATGGATTCTAAGCTCCAGCATGGGACATAGGTCAACCATGTGACAATTTCCCTGCAATTGTCTAAGGTCAGGTCTCGGTAACAAAACTATTGATCTACCAATATGTCATCTATAGACATACACCTCTATTTCTGATTGAACCCTGAGGGACACAGGGAAGAAATTATTTTGGTTTCTGAGGGCAATTGGCTAGGACCCCAACCAGATGCCTGATGGCAAGAGGCCCTGGCTGATGGTGACACAGGTCATGGAAGTCTGTCCTAACTGTGTGGAGGGGTAGAGACCACGATATCCAGAAGCACCTGACCTCTGAAGAATGACCTTTGATCCAGATAAGCTGGGGTTAGCCACGTTAGGATACTCAATGACAGAAAAAGCTAACCAGGAATTCCCAACCAAACCCATCTTCAGATGAAGTAAAGCCCCCAGGCACAGAATGAGCACAGTAACTCCAGGTTCTAGGTGAACAGGGAGAGAAAAGGGAAGAAGTGATTACCAACCAATTTCCTCATGAACTGAGAGTAAGAAACTAATAGACTGTGTCTTCCCTCCTACTCCCTGTAAAAAACAGGAGACATTAAGGCATCATATAAGGACATTAGTATAATGGTAACTGATAGAACGGAAATACAAACTTTCTTAAATACCCAGAGACATAGCCCACAGTGCTATCCTGGGGGAGAAGAGGAAGGTATAAATTTAAAGCAATATGGCTGAACTGAAATCAAATGTGTTAGTTTTATAAATAATACCAATTGATAAAACCTCTCCCCCATTTTTTTTCCTCACAAAATGGTCTAATTCCCCATTTCATTGGCAAAAAAGGAACATTTTAAGATAAATTTCAGTGCAGCTGCTGCCTATTTCTTGAAACCACCCCACTGTTCTGTGGTTTCCTGGTGATAATGGCCTGTTTGTTTACTTTCACCTTTCCTTTTCATTATATTTAATAATTCTCTTCAAGACAATGTAAATTGTTAAGAAAATTATTTTCTTTTAGTGCCTTCTGGAATGTTACATAATTTTTTCTTTAGCCATTATTGCCAGAATTCCTATCTTCATCCCTGTGCCGCTGAAGACAAAGATAAAACTAATCTACAGCTTCTGCAATAGCCATCACTGAACTGCTTGCAGAACTTGCCTAGA